ACATTGACATGACATGAGGTAGCGAAAACAAAAGGCAAATGGTTAAATTATCACCCAAACCGACTTCCTGGTTCAACTAAAGAACTTTATTTGGAGATAAAACCGTTTATAGAGGAAAATACAGTATGTCAGACTTCTTTTTAGCAATGTGGTCATGCTTCCAGATCTCAGGAACCTGGTGATTGCAATGTTATTATACCTGATAAGAAAGTATAAAAATAAGATCCAAGTTGTAATGGACTGGAATCATCCTTTAAGCCCTTGAAAACACAGTTTAGATCCTCTGTATTTTGGAGACATTGAATGACAAATTGCATTGCATTTGAGATTAAACGATTGCGTTACTGTACCTGTTTAAAGCTGAGCAGTGAATCCTTCGTGCTGATGTCTCGTGGGCTCAAGTCAAAACAGCACCAGAGGCCTGGTATAGCATTCTCTTTTCTTCAAACCCAACGGGGGGGACAAACCGAGTCAGCTCTGGCAGCGAGAGGAAACATTGCCGTGGTGATTCTGATGACCTTTGACCTTAGTTTAGCGGCTTTGGCTCCTTGCCAGACAAGCCACTCGGTCCTGTGCGTATGGGTTGAGGAATGCGCTGGACTGCAGCGAGCTCATTAAACAGTGCAGTGAGTGAAGGGTGAAGGCACGTTGTTTGCACTGGCTTGCCTTCTCAGGCCCTGCAGCTCTTTGTGTACCGATAGATCTCCAATCCCAGAGCCCTGGACGGTCCTGGGACACTGCTGGCACCAGGACAGTGTGTGTGAACCATTATGTGTGTGTGGACACAGTGAAAACTAGTCACCGCTTTTCTTGCAGCATACACAACTATCCTCTTATTGTGCATCCATTAGACTAATGCATGCTGTTGCCTTTGACTTGTGCAGCGAAACGAGATATTTCACGGTTGTTCTCCTTCCAAGGCCTGAAGTGTGAGCACATCTGTGAGAGAGGCCCGTACCCAGTAACCTTGAAGCGTAAGTCAGCAGTTTAAATAGCTTGTTCCAGTTTCAGCAGCGTGCAGCTTTCTGAGCAAAAGTTCCTTTTTTTTTTCTCCTCTCCTCTGCTTTTGCTTTGTTTTGGCACTGATGGAGAAGGAAGAGGAGGGGGAGGAAAGGCCAGAGATCAGACACAAATCATCCCGTGGTACTCTGCACGTGAGAACGGTCAGGTGGTCATCTCCCCGCAGACATGACTTCGGAGCAAATCAAATTGCAGATTTACTATTAAACTGCAGAGAAATGACAGGCTGTTTTGTTTTTGCAGCTTTAGCAATTTTCATTTTTAGCATAGTCACGAAATGCAAAAAAAGCAGTTAAAATGCTGATGCCACGCCATAATAGTGCACAGGTTTTTTTTTTAAAACTATTTTTGAGAAATCTGCTCTCAGTAACACTTTTTAAAAACTCATCCTATGAGTATTAACTTCTACTTAACTACAAAACCTTATGTGACACAACACCAATAGTGACACTGTTCATGACTGGAATATCAAAAGACAGTACTATTTACAACCCAGACAAATTGGAAAATTTGATGTGATTCAGAACCATGTGGGCCTGGTGGTGCGAACTGTCTGCTCTCCTTTATGGACACAACAGTCGCGTTCATCCCACTTTGTATGGCTGTTTCAAGCAATCTGATAAACATTGCGTGACCAGGGCTTGGTTAAGGAATAACAAACGTGAGTGAGAGAGGGTCCTAACCGCCACTCCAGACTGGCGGTGCGCTCCTGAAGAAAAATAGCGAGCGTGTCTCTCGGCAGGGTAACATGTGCTGCTTGGAGGGAGCTGTCAGGGACACGCTGCCAGATTTAACTAGGCCCTGTCTTATTGATATGCATCAGAAACGTGAAGCTTTTCTTCTGAAGTGACAGAATTGTTAAAGTGGATCGTCCTCAACAATTAAAGAAAGAGCTAGTTTGATGATAATTTAAACGCTGCATTGGATGTAAGGAGAGAAATGTGCCACTTTTAATACTTTGTGTTTGAGTTTTCATTTGAAACTGGTAATGTGACGGAAGTAAAAACAAGATAAAATAGGACAAATCAGTAGTATTACTACACACAAAACAGCTTTAAAAAAGTTCAAAATAGTTCAAAACAGCCATGTGTCTTCACTGTTTGAACAATTTGTAAATTGCACTTCCATAATGATTTTCAATATTATTTCTATGCATATTACTTTAAGTTTATACCAACATTTTTGGTGGCTATAAGCAAAGTTTCTTTCCTTGTATAATGTGTTTCCAAGATACGTTACTGAACATTTGTTAGGAATGGCATATTCCATATTATCCTTTACAGTTGTATTGTCATTGTTCCAGAAAGGTTTTCATTTAGTGCGACTCCAGAAAAACTCCAGGTCACCATGGTTGTTGAGTGGCAGGGTGTCTGCTTCTGATTCAGGGTGTAATGAAAAGAAGTGGTATTTCAGAAGGCTTGAATACCAAACAGTCATTTTTATTTTCATGTGGTAAAAGCAATGGTCAAAGCGCATCTGTGCACATTTCTATCCTCTGCATGCCAGGTAAAATATGTGGTGAGCATACAGGTGGGGCCTGTGATGAATAAGTCAGTAAAAAGGTTTTCTTGGTGGGGGGTAGGTAGCCAGGCAAAGTATTTGGGGAACGCCTTGTTTTTGTTTTTCATTACAAGAGAGGGAGAGAGGGGGGAGAACAGGGTGCAAGACGGTTGCCCATTGGCTCAAGTTACCCTTTGGATGATGTGTATGGAGCGCTGCCTAGTGCAGCTGAGCACACTGCACTCAAAGAGGCCTTTTTTCAACCCAAGAGAAAGTCATCCACAAGCTCGGACCCCTCTCCCTTCCAAAAAAACACTCCTCTCCCCCCTCTGCTGCAGACCCCCAGCTCCTTCCTGCCCTGCTTCCCCTGGCCGCAGTCCAAGTGCTTCATGTGGCTCAACTGGGGCAGGTTGGAGGTGGGCCCCCGCCCCTGCCCTCAGAAGACACTTGTTTTCCAGTGGGATGAGGGTGTGTTGGTGTTGGCAGGGTGGAGCAGAGGGGTGGAGGGGTTCAGCTGATGCGGGGGAGTTGGAATTGCCCCTTGGGAGAGGAAGAAATAAAAGAACCAGAGCACTTTCGCACGCCCTACTTTTGGGAGCGCCTGTATGCACCTGTACAGAGGTAGAGATGGTTTAAAGGGCACTTTTGCTAATTCTTTTTATATATACTTGAAACAATCTGGTGCATTTTTATAACTACAATCAAATCCCAGGAAATTAAAGATGCAATTATCTTTTAGAACTTCGGATTATTATGTTTAGTCACTGAGACTCTCTTGTTGCCCACAGGCCGTCTCTGACTGACCTCTAAGTGAAACAGACGGGGCTAGTGAGAGGGTCTTACTTAATGTGAAAAACACAGGCTACGCCCTTCCTGAAAAAGAAAAAGAAAAAAAAAAACAGGGAAAAGGTTGTGTATGTGTGCATGTGTGAAGTGTATGTACTAGCTGTGCAGTCCTATGTGCTCGGCTCTGCAGCCAACCCGAGAGAGCTTCATTTCTCTGATTAGGTTTATTGTGGTTGCGGCGATGGCCGGTAGAGACCTTGCATTGTTGAAGTTTGTTTACCGTTCAGACAGAGTTAGCCAAAGGAACGGGAGAAAAGGGGGAAGGCTAACTCAGAACAAAGAAACGGTTCATGGACAAGCTTGACTAATGGCCGATTGAAAGGCCTTTATGAACAAATTTGAATGGACCAAGGACAGTCAGGGGAGGTAATCTGCTGATAAAAAATATGTGAGTAAAAGCAGTTCTTTGAAATAATGTACAATATCCATGCAAAGTCAGTCAGTGTCCACAGAGAGATTAACTTCTTGTGACTATCGCTGAATTAACATCCAAATGCTGCATCCAGTGAGCTGTTTACTCGTGGATCCAGGGTTGTTGCCCTGTCGGGCTTTGGCAGGGATGCAGGCTTTTTCCCGGGGGGCCACGGTTTGTGTTTTGAGTAGAGAACAAATGAGAAACTTTTGGTCAATAATGATTATTGCATCTGGTGGTTTAAGGTCTCTCCCTCAGTTTTAGGGTATAGCGAGGTTTCCATCTGGTGAAATAAATGGCTGACATGGACAATGGTAATGCACCACAGGCAGACAAAAAAAACAAAATAGGAAAGTCTCCAAACCACAGCCCTGATTGGCTCTTTGAATGTGTGTCACATGTGGGTGGACAGTGAAAAAAACAGCTTTTATTGTTGAGCAAAGATGTAACTGCTGAGGCACTTACATGAACTCTAGCTTTTTCAGAGGAGAAATGTTGACATAAAATTATAGGGTAAACACAGTTGTTGTGGTGATACTAATTAAGGTTCCGTTCCATTAAGTGTATTAAGAGCCTTTCCAGTGAGCCAACGTGTGCAATAGTGGCACTCTGACTTTGTTTGACCTGAATGGAACTAAACCTTAATTAGTATCAGTCAAAATTCCTCTGAAAGAGTGTTACTGTATCAGTACATGACCTTTCCTTTCTACTGGACTGGACTTTGGGGAGATTGGTTGGTTGAATATCTAATTAGATGTAATTGATCGGTTTAGCTATTTTCAGTTTAATTACATAGGAGTCCAACTGTATATTTATTGGATGCTCGATATAATACGATTCATTAAATTTAGGTTGGTAGGAGTTACACAACATTGGTAAATAGCCTTAAATGAACTATTTCCCGACGAGGATGTGATTTCTCGCAAGGTTTTGAAAGTGGTTTGTTGGAGCCTCTGTAAGCTTTGAACATGTGTAACTGGGGACACTCACACCTTCTCAACCCTTTGAATATGCAACGTCTCGAGCCCAAAGTCACAACCTGCATCAACACAGATCATGTATTACTCAGCTGCCTTTCTCACTGGTTATTCGAGGAACAGTATTTGTTTCCGCCCTTCAGGGACGTGTGGATCAAGCTCTCGTCAGTCTGTTTGTGTAGGTGCCTCCTCGCCTTTCTGGTGGTGGATGTCTGCTGACTCACCCTGTGCTTGTATGTTTGCAGACGTGCCAAACTACGGCTGTACTTGGAGCAGTTGAAGAAGCTGGTGCCTTTAGGTCCAGACAGCACGAGGCACACCACACTGAGCTTGCTGAAAAGGGCCAAGATGCACATCAAGGTACTAAAAAAAACAAACCCCACAGCTGAATGAAAAAATAAAATGCTCTAGTCGTGTTCACAACATGTCTGATTGTTTTTGTGGTTTTCGTGACTCTTGATAAGTTAGCCTTTCAGAGCTATAATTTGTTAGTTGTCCGACCGATAAATGACAGAAATTTTGATTACCGAGCAATTTATCGAGCAAAAATGCAAAACATTCGCTGGCTCCACCATGTCAGATTTTAGTACTTGTTGCTCTTTTGTGTCTTATATCACTGTAAAATTTTATATCTTTGGTAAGACAAAACCAGCAATTAGAAGAGGTTACTGTGGGCTCTTTCAAATTATAAATGGCATTTTTTTTCAGACCTACACAAACAATCAAAAAAAAAAATCAGAGACAAAATATTTGTTGTAGCTCTAGTGTAGAGTAAAACTAGAACAAGTCTCCACAAAAAGTCCAGTTCGTCTTTCACTTGAGCTTAAACTCGTGCTCTACCTCTTTTAGCTGTTTGGTTTTCTCTTTAAGTGTTATATTGTTTCCTAATCTTTCAATCAGAGCGGTTCAGGGCCTGCCAGACAAAATTGCTCCCAAGACTGAAAAGGAAAAGAAAAAAAAAAACACTAACAAATGAGTCAACAACATGGAATATACAGATCTTTGGTGGCTGATCTGTAGATATGTGAAAGTACATAATTGGATGTTAGGTTTGTGTAACTCCTCCCATGGTCCATTAACTGTTGCAGCTCACACACACTTAGAGATATCTAAGATACTTTTTACTTAAATACTTTTTTAAAGCGTGCAGCAAGAGCAATGACTGAAGAGCTTAATCATATCCTTTGATTCTTATGGTTGCCATGTAGACGATGCACTGTAACTGTAAGTACAGTTTAGGACACGCTGTACTGGTCTCGCTGTTTACAAGCAGCAACAGTGTGGTCGGTGGAAAATCCAGACGTAGCGAGTTTTAACCCTTCATTTCCTGTTTATCGTCCTCTCTGCTCAGATGAATTCCGCTAATTCTCGTCAATGTGTTGTGTCTTCTCGTATCACAAGGGGCCACATGTGTTCGTGACTTCGCTTTGATTCACCACCGAAAACTTTCATATGCAAATAAGTGCAAAAATCTAATCCCACATTGAGTCAAACCTTTTATAAGAGTTGATGTTTATTTTTTACTTTCTAACCTACAAACTTCATGCAGTCACTCGGGCCACTTCCTTAATACATGTTGAAATTTGTTGTTGTTAAATACTCTCCTTTTGTATCTTTGGCAGAGGTCTGACTGGCAGGAGATGATAGAAAACAAAACTGGTTTTGCTTTCACATGTATGTGTGATAACATCAGTAACAGCATCTAGCATTCGAGCAAAGATCCACTGTATCCAACATCAACAGTAATTCTAAAAATAATATGGTAATCACAATTAGAAGAACATCTTCTATTGTAAATCTATACTCTTTGTTATCTTTTACTGCATATGAATACTTAACAAAGAGCTTATTTAATAGAGTTAAATAGAACTAAGAAGAAATGGGTTGCACATTTATCTTTTCTGTTGTTAGCCTCATTTGGGTGTATAAACATGTACTTTTTTCTCTTATTAACGAACATGCATAGTATGTAGTGGGCAGCAATGACTTGTCTCTCTTTTAAAAATGAAAGTCAAATGCTGGGAATAGTCATTTATACACTGTATTATTGTGTGCTTTTACTACACAGCAGCCAAAAGGTCGATACGTTTTGGGTTCCTCTAAGCACAACCTATTATGAACGGGAAAAAAAAAATAGAGCAGAAGGAAATTTCCCGCAGTGACCTTTTTGGGGGGGGAATGTATATTATCTTTATGGTAAAACAAACAAAAAAATAGTATGCAGGCATACTGTTAAAAGACAGGTATGAACATTGTCATTGATTTCTGGCCATTTCCGTGTGTCTCTGCAGAAGCTGGAGGAGCAGGACAGGAAGGCTTTAAACGTGAAGGAGCAGCTGCAGAGAGAGCACCGCTACCTCAAACGCCGCCTGGAGCAGCTTTCTGTGTCCGGATCCGTAGAGCGCATCCGCACTGACAGCATGGGCTCCACCATCTCCACCGACTCCGAGCAAGGTATGCCGGCTTTAAAAAGTAAACCAGCTGTGCGTGAGTTTCTAGACTGGATTTAGATGTGTGTGCCATATTCTAAAATGCTTTAACTGGCAATGTACATGTAGAAGTCACACAATGTGCAGCTCTGCTCTGTATTGTGCGGACAGTCTTGGGCGTTGTCGTGGTAAGGGCTTTATGTTAACTATGACATGTAAATCAAATGTACCTCCACATTTGATGCAAATCTATAACGACCAAGGTATGGCTGAGGCTGAGGTTGACACGTACGCCTTTATACCCTGAAGCTATATACGTTTGCAAATAGCTCAGCACTTGAGGCTTTCATGTGCAGTGTAAAGCCAGTCTGAGCTGTTTGGCTGTTTACATTTCTCTCGCCGTCCACTGACAACTCACGCTGTCCGGGTGAAAAGCCACTCGATGATTAGCCCCTGCCTTGTTTGCAGGCGATGCCCCCGGGGTCAGAGGTTAAATCTAGCTCTGCTCTTTAGCTACTGATGGTGGGAGACTTCATGTCATGTGGTCTACCGTGCGCTCGTGCAGGTAGTCACGTTTCGTGTGTCGAAATGTTATAAATGCAAACAGTAATGTGTATTCTCTCAGGTCAGGGCCATGACCTCTTGTCCACCACTGCAGGTTCTATTTGAATGCCATTACCCCCAGGCAATCTCACGAGACTCAAGGCGCCAGTCGTCGAATAGTCGTTGGAATTAGTTTGAACATTTCTGTAACTTTCATAAAACCGACTATCTGACAATGACACATCTACAGCAGCTTTCCACACTACGACTGCTTTCTAGCAGAGAGTGCTTGGAAATGTGCGCCGGTATCTGCATATTTAAATGATTTATCTTCTCTGAGGTGGCAGCCGCCGCCTTTGAGTGTGGCCGTTCAGAACAGATACAAACGCTTTTGATGTGGTCGGACAACATCGTCCTATGATCAGGTTCACCCGAGTTTAAAAGTGCTACGTGTTGCTCGCCAGTGTCACATAGTCCCCTGAAAAATGCTTTGCTCGGACTGTTACAGTATGTTTGCTAATCCTGGATGAGGTAAACACACATGCAGTTGTTTATCAATGGATGGGGATTAGCTGTGGGAGCACAAAGATCTGCCTGTTTGCCCAGAGTTAATGGTTGCCTAAATCCGGGTTTAATCCACAGGCGCAGCAGGCAGCCTAATAAATATGTCCACATTTGGGTGGAAATAAACAGTTTCCCCCTCTCTTGTTCTGTTTTTTGAGCAGCACCGAAAATAACCTGCCGTATTTTTTCTTTTTCGCGTGCAGAGGTGGACATCGAGGGTATGGAGTTCACCCCCGTGGAGGCAGACAGCGTGGACAGCATCAGTGACGGCGAGGAGGAGGAGGACCACTACAGCCTCCAGAGCAGCTCCAGTGACACCAGCTACACAGCCACACATTCCCACAGACTGCAGCCACACCACTGTTAAGACACCACGCGGCCATCCATCTCGCAGCCAGCTCCCCCCCTCCACTGACCATTTTGCAGTCGCCAACGCCGCCCACTACCTACATTAGACCAGTCCACAACGGCGGTACACCCTGACCATGATCCTTCTTTTCCTGGCCCTGGCTCTCCAGGAATCACATGGGGCTGAAATGCCACTCAAGCCTTCCTGACCCCCCTGACCACTGACCCTACCTCACCCTACTGTATCCTGCCTGAACCCTCCCCCCCTGCCCTCCCACTGCCCTCACAACCCCTGCCTAGTGTTGCCGCAGGCTCAGAGAGAGCAGAGCAGAATTTGTGGTTTTCAGTGGGGACTTCTGTGATGCGGTGAAGAGCTTTGATTTGTTAATCAGGATTTTGTAAAGTGTGTGTTTGTGTGTGTGTGTGTGTGTGTGTGCGTTTGTGTGCAAGAGAGAAAGACCAAGCGAAGGAGTTTAAGAGAGGTCAAAAACAAAATATAAGCTTCATGTAATCTCTATGAGGCAATAAGACGGACGAGGCTTTGCACTAAGTTTGTGGTGCAAAAGGTGAAGCACTTCTGTTCATTCTGCAGTATATAACACAAACAAACAAACAAACAGTTACTTACATCATGAAGTATCTTTCCTTTACACGGTAAGATTTACAGGAGTAGCTTTTGCAGATGTCCTGCACGCTCCTTTGAAACGTTTGACTGTTGAAAAAAGCGTTAAAGATTAAAGGAATAGTTTGACATTATGGGAATTATATTTATTCACTTTCATGCAGAGAGATGAGACGATTGACACCACTTACATATCACTGAAGCTAGAGCTAGTAGCCGGTTAGCTTAGGGTAGATTAATACAAAAAGAGGCTATATAGAAAAGGGAATGAGTTAGCCTGACTTCGTCCGAAGTTCAGAAATATGCTCACCGGGACCCAGAAAGCTCACTAATTCACATTTTATATCTTGTTTGTTTAAGCTGTAGACAAAATGACATAAACCCCCATAAAACAACAACTTTATATGGATTAAACAAGCTAGATTTAACTTTGTTAATGTACTGGGCTTCTGAGGTGCCGGTATGCAGATTTATTTAACTTTTGGACTTTTTGGACTTTTCCCCCTCGTTTCCAGTCATTACGCTAAGCTAAGCTAAGCTAACCGACTGCTGCCTGTAGCTCGTGTCGTTCTTCTCATCTACTTCCCAAACTTCCCAAAATGTAAAAAACTATTCGTTAAATCTTTCCAATTTTTAGGACCGTGTCGATTTGCAGCAGTGCTTCTGCAACTGCGCGACCCACAATAGGACTTCCAACAGCTAATTCTGTGTATCTTTGTTACCAAAATGTGGCCGATTTTTGGCCTAAGACAAACTGAAAAGGTTACAGAGCTGTAGCAGAGAAGAAAGAATGTATATATGTACAGTTACAAACCCTCATGTCTCCCTTTGGTTGGGTTGCCTAACCACTACTCCACACTACTGACCACTACACTATACCACCCTATGGTGTGGATGGACTACTATGTCAAATAGAAAAAAGGAGTTGCCTCAGAACTAAAACTCTATTCCTTAAAGATTGATTTGAATCTTGTATTTCCTCAGTAGCGAATTGATGTAGCAATAAATACAAGAGGCGGGTGCTTCCTCTGAGTGTTTAAATGATTCTGGTGGACCATGAGGTGTCACGGGAGACTTTTTTCCTTTTACCTTTTTACCCTGTAGATGGCAAGCGGGTGCTTACAGAGACCGGACCTGCAGAAAAAGGGGCAGTTCTCCTTTTTCTTTTTTCACTAATGGATCCTTCTCTGGGCCCGCAACGCCGTTTACCAAGAATTCGCATTTCTCTACAGCTCTGTTACTTATTCAAGCAGTGTTCATGTGTGTCTGGGTGTTTTTTTGTGTGTGTGTCCTGGTTAACAAGTCAAAGCTGTAAATGTGGAGAAAAAAATTGAAAGAAAAAAAAGGGCCAGCTCTAATGATTTGTTGTCTGTAGAGGTGTTCATTTAGCTAACTTAGCTAACTAATCACTTTCAGTTGAACTTTTCATTTTCTATAACAAGAATAATAATCTTATTTCCTCTCTGCTATCTGTTGCTTATTCTGAAGACCAGCATAGATTAAATTTCTTCTTTGACGGAGGAGGCGCTTCTGTCGCTCTCTGACCATTTAATTATCATTAGGCCTCAGTCTTTGGCAGTCTTTAAAGCTTGGCGTCCAACACTTGCAAAAATTAGGGCCAGTCCACCATGGCAGGTCTGACCAAAAAAACATAAAAAACTACAAAAACACTCAAAAGTAAACAAAAAAACTTGCATTAAAAAGAAGCTACTTGTCACTAAAAGTGATATTAGCCAGTGTAGTCTATATTTCTTGTATAAAATTTTGTATTATATTTTCCTAAATGTTCTCTTGTAATAAAAAGACAAAAAAGAGTATGTATATCTATCTATACATATATATATATATATATATAAATATATAAATATGAGAGACAGACAGACATGAGGCCAGGCTTGTTGAAGGGAGATTGGGGGCAGGGGAGCTGATACACTGGCCCCTCTCCCTTGGGTGACTCTCCTGCTGTCATTCTGTGCCTTGGTGAGCCTTCATCCTCCTCCTCCTCCTCCTCTTCTTCCCACCACCAGCCTCTGGCCTACTCAGTCACCCACCCCTCCTCTTAATCTCATCCCTCTTCTTCTAGTCCTCGGCGGGGTGAAAGCTTTGATTTCAACCCATAGCATGCCAAAACACTTCCACGAGCAAAAGGGGCACTTGAAGAGAAGACCTCATTTTAAATACATAAAAAAAAAAAAAAAAAGCCCCTTTGGTCTCTACTGAGAAGCCGCTGTTGTTTTGTACACCGCTGTCCAGGCACTCCCCACCCTCTTGACGCCCGCTCGTCGCCAGTGGCCGCTCTCTGTCACAAGAAAAAAACGAAACACACACTGGTAATCCCCATGGCAGCTTCCAGTCGGCCCCGAAATGGTCACCAACCGGGCGTTCAAAAACTTCTGGACTGAGCGTGTTTTTTTTTTTTTGTTGTCATTTTACTATTATTGTTTGTTGACTATGTGTTTGTTCAGTGGGGAGTCACTGGGAGAGGAGCCGATAAAAGACATAATCCAATCGATGGCAGCTTCAAGTGTTATCCTCCGCGCTCCTGTTCCATCCCAGAAATAGGTTACCGTGGGAGGGAGAGCAGCAATATTACCATCTTGTGCTTTCTGAGGGAGGGTGGGCGGGCAGGGTTTGTTTTGTTTTTTTTAGACAAGCAGTTGGTTTTGCTTTTGACTCTGTGGTGCATTTTATTTGGTGACCAACTATATTTTTGTTTTGATGAATTTTACCTCCTATCTGCACTCTCTCCATACACTGCAGGAGGGCAAAAAAGAATTAACTAGAGATTAAAACAAAAAAAAAACCTTTTTGGAAAAGCTGTTTTTATTCTTTTTGTCATTGAGAGTTTACATTCATGTCAACAAGGATTTGTACATGACTGTTAGTAGCAAAAAAATGTCCTTTTTCAGTTTGTTGGTCAAATGAACAACTCAGTACACCATATTAATGGCATAAAGTTATTCTCTTGCACAGAACCTCCCAATAGAAACGTGACAGAGTGAAAGGGATGAGGGCCAGATATGAGATTATAATTTTTCAGTGGCGTCATTGAAAAATATACATAGCACACTCAGAGCGAGTGGTTTCTGAGCAGTGGACCGGACGTGGTAACATTTTGTTTGAATGCTGGATGGATAGTGTAATTCTTTTAATGATGTGCCTTGGAAAAAGTTATTTTCTTAAAAAAAAAAAAGAGCAGCGATTGTACCATTTAATGAAGACAGTTAAATCAGTCACAGTTGCTCTTATTTTGAACCCCTTTGGAGAAGCAGCAGAAGATGTTACTGCTTCCTTCTCCACTGCAGAGAGGTTAACATTTATTTCAAGAAGCTGAAGGGGCTCTTCGCTGAACTCCTGTAAAGATCAAAGGGTTATTTAACAGTCATCAGAGAGACGGGCTCAGTTTAGAAATTGTTGACTTCAGAGCAAGTACAGACAAGGTTTGATATTTGCTTTCATGTCCCTGTTGCACAGAGATTTTACTTTAGCGTGTTTTGGTTTTCTAAGCACAATAGCACAGTGTGGTGTTTGGGGAAGTCGGCAGGCCGAGACAGAAAAAGAAAGTGGGCGGTGAGATGAAATGAGGGTGGAAGCGTGGAACCAAGGACAGTCTGCACAGAGAGCAGGGTCAGTCACAGATGAAATCAGATACACAGATGACACCATCCTATGTCTAAACCTGCTGAGCAAAGGTGCTTAGAAAATCAACACGAGGACTTCCATTAAATATTATTCCTGCCAAATAAATAGTCACTTTTAAACCTTCCGTGCTGAATGATTAGTCAGAGTTCCTTTATGTAATTCCAGATGAATAGCTTTAACTACTTGTAGGCTTTAGGTCAGCATCCCGCTTTCCCAGACCCCAGCCTTTATGTCTTTTCTCCTTAGTTTTTTTGCATCTTTATGTATCAGGTGACGCTCTACAGTCGAATTGCTCTACCGGCATTTATGGTTCATCTTTTGTAACCACAGGAACCTATAGGCTGCAGGGGAGAGCGAGCTGGCTGGGATTTAGTTGAGGAGGAGGAAGAGGAGGATGGTGGGGACTTTGTTTGGGCTGACGTGCTGTGCAGAGTAGGGAGAGTTCTGTGCCAGAGACCTGTGAATATGTTTCTTTTTAGCAGATGTGTAATATGCATTCAGAAGATGTTATATAAGTTCCTTTTTTTTTGTTTTGTTTTGCGTGCGAGTGTGTGTACATGAGTACCTGGTGCTGGCTAAATTTTTAGCAAACACTTGAAGGTATTGTGTATTCTCTCATTGTAATATAATTAAAATGTTTTATACATAAAGTTGCCGCAGCCTCATTATTGCCTGTTCAATGATTTACGAAACACTGTATGGATTCACACACTGCTTATTGTTGGGGGGGGGGCAGCGCACTGTGACAACCTTGAACTGAACAAAGCAGCAGGAATATGCAGATGAAGGTGTTCAGATGTTACACGGCTTCCTGTTTGGTTTGTGCAGCTGTGAAACTGCGATCTGCAGTTTGGAATATTAACCGTATTTTAAAAGGTCAGAGTTCATTTTTTGCCACTGCCACAGCGAGGAAAGGTTAACGGGTGAAATAAACAAAGAGGCACAAAATAAAATCAATAACTTATCACATTTTATTAAAGCTTACATTTGACAACAAAACAAACAAAAACACAAGACAACAAACACTGGACTTTAACTTGCAGGGTTGGTTGAAACTCTTACTTTAAAAGTCCAATAGATTCTGTTTTTACATATTTTTTTTGAACATCTCACTACTATCTTCTTAAAATAAATCTATTTTACAAATGCTTAATGCTAAATAATTCTTCAAAATACATCATATAAATTATTTGTGAACTGTAATTCAAGTCTTGCAGCAGAAAAATCCAGACAATTCCATCTAAAAGGGAATGCAATCACTGAAATGTTTACAGTATCACCTTCATCACTACTTCAGCTTCGTATCAACACGCAGATTGAAATGATCTAAAACATTTTCACTAACGCACCTCAGTCATACTGTTAAAGGCTAATCACATTACAGAGCACAGAGCTGTGAAAACTTTACTCATTCTGACTTTTTTTGATACAAGTCACTTTGGTATCCTGTGATTATCATCAACTCTTCAGAACAGGCGGTGCTGGCAGTGACTAACCAGTAGCATTTATACTTCATTCTATTATTTATGTGCACAATATTACAGAGTAGATTGTTAGTAGCACATACTGTGTGCTGAAAGTGTGAAGTTTAGTACAGTCGGACAACCAGAAAAGGTTAAATAAGGAACTTACACCAAGGTTCCCTGTTTAAATACACATTAAATTCATAATCCTTCTTTTAGTGAAATTAAAAGTACACTGTCACAGCATTAAGAGTGGTCTAATGTGAACTTTAGGCTGGACCAAATACCTAAAGCAGAATAATATATCACTTGCTGATCAATGTAAGTGAAAGTGCCATCCTTGTACAAGCGGATTTTTATCACTCTGCATGAAAATAAGCTTATTACTGTATATTAAAATAGATACATTAAATATATGGCAAAAACATGAAAATATGCATTTAATTCTGACATAGTTGCAGCATTAAAAGAGTGCTGCTGGTCACAATCTGAAAGTTTCCACAAAGGCAATATGTTTCATACACAGACTCAGGACCTGAGATTTAACGAAAGCTGAGAGAAAAGAGAGAGAGAACAGTTTGCTGTGTTAAGAGAATAAACAGTGAGATCCAAGAAAAACCTCGGTCTAGTCACGATGATCAAAAAGGCAGTGCGTTGAGTTCATGTCACCTGTACAGTTCCTCACATACTGTCCTGTCAGACGTACTGCTGCGGTTTCTGTGGGACAGTAGCAGCTGTGGCGAGGCTCTTGGCTGCCTCCTTGGCCTTCTCTGATGCGTCCTTCACTGTGTCCCTGAGCAGCCGCTGGGGCGTCTCTCCTGTGAGCCCAGAGAGTGTCGAGGTGAGAGAGAGAGAGACAGACAGGACAGAATGAGGATAACAACGGACAAGGAATACGCAACATCGATGGTTTCCTCAAGCACGACGTGACAAGGGATATTTGGCAACTGTTGCGTGAGAGGAAGCGTATTACTGCTAGAAAACAGCGGTGAGCTGAAAACTATAATGATATGAACAAAGATTGTAAAATAACGTAAAAATCGGCTCATTCATAGTGTTAAAGTGATTAAACTGAAAGTCTGTGTATTCTACCTCGTGCTGCTGCAGGGCATTTGTGTTTTGGTTCAAAATGTGACGGAAATGTTTCCAGGTCCAACCCAGTAAGATTTCTGTCATGACTTTTATGTAAAATGAACTCAGGAGCTTATGCAGACATGAGACCAACATGCCAAGTTACCATCACATTTACGTAAAGAGGTTCATGTCTGAAAGAGGCTTTATATAATGCCATGCAAAATGGAAAGCTGACAAAACTTCAAACATTATAGAACGTCCTCTAAAAAAGTCTTGAAAAGAGCACACCCATATTTGTAAGCTGTAACAAACTGCCTCACACTGGATTCAGAGTCTATTTGAGTCTGACCTCGCTGTGAACCCTCAAACTTAGTACCTCACGTGAGAACAACAACCAGAATCACAATACAACAGAGCTCGTTCCCTAAACTGCGAGAGACGGAAAGAGAACAGAGACGAGTGGTTTCCTTGACATTTAGGTGCTCTCAGACAAAGCAGCAGATATTTGGTAAGTGTTTTTCCCGAGAGGGTGGCTACACGGTGGCAGAGGGAGGAACCTCTCGGCGTTTGGAGACTGACAATAACTGGAGGGAGGTGTATCTGGGGAATTTATAGAGGCCAAAAACAAAGCAGACGTGCAAAAGCAAATTGTGTTAGCTGCTGTTGATTTCTCCATTTTATAATCTTTTAAACAACAAAGAATGTGAAAATGTGCTTTAATTCCATAAGCAACATTAAAAAATAGAATTTCAATATCATTATCTATATTTTAGTCACCATGCGTGTTTTAGTGGGAGGTTACGTCAGCCCTTACTAAAACATAATTGTCTCAGAGGTGTAGTACTAGCAGCAGATTTTATTGAGTCTGTCAAACTGGTTTTAACATGTTTCTTTTTCCTCACTACAGTTGAGTGGGATTATTATTTTTTTTTTTTGTCTGGCGCAGTGCCCCCGCTGACTCTTGCCAGAAAAGTGAAAGGCAAATTCACGGCTTGTATGAAAGCACCTTTAAAAAAAATCTCCATCTAATCAAATCCACCCTCAGGTACTTTCACAATATCAGAAAAATCTCAGCATTCCCATAGCCTGTGTCTGGCGGGTTAATTCGATACCAACAGCAGTAAAGTCACAGTGTTAAGGGTGTTTTAGGTGCTTATTTTCCTTTGAAGGAAATCAGGTGATTACAGTGTGTAAAAATACAATTGGTCTCATGCCTCGTTGGCTCATGTAGTGCTATAAAGAAGATTATATCAAGCTTATATAAATCGTGATAATTCACATGTGCAATTATAACTTGAATGTATGATTTTGGGAGTGGATATTGGCATAAAAAAATACACATTGTTGAAGTTCATTATACTCTCTAAATATAAAAAAAAATGACACTAGTTTCTTTTGCATAAGGCTTTGTAAAAGAAGGTTAAATATACTGTAAATGTATTAGGTTCAGCACAAAGGCTAGTATTTAATCGACTATAGATTTACAGGCTAGAATGAGGGATGAGGGCAATCATTCAATATTATAAATTCCTCTCTCTAGATTGTCTTATTGTAACAAAATTCCCATATTGGGAGTCAAAGTTCCCTGTATAAGGTAAAAATTTCTCAGCACTTCCTCTCAAACATTTTGTTATTATTAAAAATACAAACCCCAAACCTTTTAACCAAAGAGATTACCATGGTTTTCCTTCTTTTTTCAATATTTAAATAAGTACTGTCTGTTGATTCATATGGCAATAACATAATTAGTGTGACTATGATTATGTCTATATTGCCAAGTCACATTTTAGGCGCAGATTCTCTGAAAACTGAAGTGAACTTATTTAATTGATTTGCATCAGCATGTACTCGGTGGGCCTTTCAGATCAGAAGAAAGACGCTGAACTAAATGTAAAAAACACTATATGTGGACCTTTTGAGACGAGCATTGTGTCTGAGAGCTAATCTAATCTAATCCATAAAAACTTCAGGTCAACATCTAGATCACCTGACAGAACTCCACCCTACACGACACAGCTCTCTCCAGCCTCCACGGTCCCTCACACTCTCCACCATCCTGTCCGATTATCAGAGAAGATTATTTTTAATTGGACAGTTCAAAATATACTGTAATCGACAGCAAAACAACCAAATTTAAGTTACTGACACAACAGCACAGGAGGTCCTCTCTGTTCTACATCACTTGACATTGACTATACTGCCATACGATGGCAAAATGCAGTAATTCACACTGTTCACAAAAGTTTCCCTGAGCTGTATAACATTTGATTTGCTCAGTGTAAATGTAATGTGAGACTTTTTCTTTTTATCTCTAAGCCATAATAACCTAGTATTAAAACCACAGTAAAACAGTTCATCCTGAATGTTTTACTTTATTCTGATGTTTATGTAGCATATTGGTAGTTGCATTAAAAAAAACATTAATATTAAAATACCTATAAATGCAGAGGTTATTTAAAGCTAGAATTCAACTAGACTGTACAAAAACAACAAAAAAACAGCACAATATCAATCACAAGGGATTTTCCTTACTGCAGTGGGTAGAACTCGAAGACCCTTTTGTTAGCTGGACTTTAGACATCATTTATGACAAGACAATATTCATTGTTGCATTTGGGGAAAATAAAAACACTGCTGTTACTAATGACTCATGGCAAGGGTTCAGTTTTTATCTCAATTACTGTCAACTAAACTACACTATGTACTTCTATAGCAACACTAAATGCACTTTTCAGTCACTTTTACTCAGAGTTTCTGCAGTCTGGCTTTTCAAGACAAACGCGGTGTGTATCAGCATACACAAAGCACAAGGGGGACAGTCACTCCTTAAGCTACACAGTCTACTGCGCTGGGCTCAGATATGGCATCATGTGACAACCCTGGGCAAGGCCTGGGATGGCAGATGGATGCCCCGCTGCTAACATACTTACCACAACGCTCAGCCTGATGCCAATCCCTGCAGTGCCATCAACAAAGGGGCAATGGGACGGAATCACAACAGTGGGAGAATGGCCTTTCAGACAACAGTACGCTGCATCAGCACAACACACAGTTTGTAGCACACCACAAACCTCACTGATCAGGGCCGGTTGCCAAACAAGGCCCTACCCTTTTTCCTTTAGCTTCCTGTGACGATTTAAATTCACCTCTGGTGATTCAAAATGACATTTCAAATTTGAAATGACCAGGGTGTAGGATTTAGTGGCATCTAGCGGTGTAGTTGCCAAACAAGCAATATATAATAATAATTAAATCTAGAAATACTCAACAGATTAATCAAATAATCATTATTTGCAGCCCTAGTTGTAATGAAGGACACACATTTGCAGAAGTTGTAGTTTTCTACGGCTGCCATTATTTGTTACTGAAGACCTATGTTTTACAGACAGCACCTTTAATTAGCCTGACGTTTTGTCATGTTTATGTTATCAGGTTATTTGCCCTATTTGTCTTTCAGGGGGTAGGCTTTTTTAAAGTGCCTTTCAGATGGCCTGCTCGACAGTATTTTGTTTATGCAATGCTGACTACAGAAATTGTTTTGGTCCGAGCCTAAATTCGGAAAACCAAGATGTTTGTCACTGTAGTTGTCATGGTTTCATATCCTTCTGCAGTCACATGGCATTTCTATGAAACAACAAGGACCTTTAGGCTTCTTAATTGAACCTGTTTCCAAGACAAACATGTAGGCAATGCAATCCAATTACAGAGTAAACTGCTTCAAACTATTCTGTAACATTCGACATGTCGATTTTGCACAAATAGAAAAAGGAAACATTTTTTGCCACTTCAGGATCTTGGGAGGGTAAATGTACCCAAAGTGTAGAAAATGTATTAAGTAAACCATAAATAAGTCAAATAAATAGTGTACAATGTATCAGAGTCCAATGTTTTGAGGGGAGAAAGTCGTACTCATAGTTCTCCCTTTTCCAGAAATGGCAACAGTTAAAAATAAGCTGTTTTGTTTCCCTTTTCTCTTTCTCTTTCTCTCGTTTCTGCTGGTGAAGTGTACGTACCCTGTATGTTGGACAGTGCGTATTCCAGCCCTTTCATGGCCTTCACCTGGTTGCTCTTAAAACGGGCCAATCCAAACTCCTGGGAAAACACAGAACAGGAAATGGCTTTACATGGGGGAGACGTCTGAAAAACAACACTTAGTTAACAGTCCTCTCTCCCCTGCTCTCTGGGGATATTAAAGCAAGACTGGCATCTTCCACATCTAATAATAACAATTTTAGGTTGACATATTTTTGGCACTGTTCTCACTTCTCCCCTCATATCTTCAACTTCTTTATTTTGGCATTTGCACACAGGCTCTGACGCCTTTGCTGCTCTTGCTATGACCCACAAATCAAACTAAGGCCTTGAAAATAGGATTCTGTACGTTCCCCCCTAGAATAAAAACAAATTCATTTACTTTAACTGAAGCATAATGTGTGCAGCATGTATATTTTTTACACTCTAGTGCAGATAAAAGAAGGTGAATATAAATAAACACTACTACTATCTAAATACTATTACACCTTTATGCTCATGAATTCATATGTGACTTATGTAATGTAAATAAGACTTTTCAAAGAAAACACAAAGAGAAAAAAGCACTCTTTTCTATTGTACCATTCACATAATGTAACATGGGTAGTTACTGCACAAAGAGGGTGTAAGTACTTGAATAGGTCTGGAGAAGCCGTAAACACTTGAGGATATCCACACTTCCCGCCTCAACTGGGTGGTGGCTGGCTGCTCCGCTGAGTCTCGGAAAACACAACGCTCTTCAACCGACTAACAGAGAGAGAGAAAAATGACAGCATGGTAACCTTCGAATGCGTCACACAGTTCGGGAACAGAAGTAATGTGCAGTATCGACGTATATATGCTTGCATGCTCTTCAACACTTTGGGAGTGTGGACAGAATTTCCTTAAAAGCTTCTTTAAATTCAGCTTTAATACATGTAACAGTATATTTTAACTCAGAATATATCAAACCAATTAGTACTGTCAATTACCGGTGGGAATATTCAGGAATTTCAATTTCATTTGATCTGAATTAATCCAAGTATTAACACAAAAGTGCTATATTAAAATCACAGAAGCTGCACTTTTTTGCTAAATTTAAAATGACAAAGCTGCATTATAATTTAGTACTGTGGTGCTATAGAGATGGTACAGACCCCAACAAATCTCACATCATCATGATTATTTTTTTTACCATATAGTTCAGCCCTAATTTGGATAAGTCAGGGGACTGCCAGTTTAATGTTTCAAACGTTATCATAACTCTTTCAAATAGAAAACACTGTTTACTCCCAGACACGTCTTGGCTATATTTGTTAATGCTCGGCTCAGACGACTTCTTTGATCACGAACAGTTAGTTAGCTCGACTACTGGTCACGTTTCGTATTACAGTAGATTAAAAATATGGGTAGCATAAATCCATCCTGCATTAGCGTGAGCTGTACAGAAATAAGAGCTGCATAATGCACAAGTCATGTCAAGGTCCTTCTTCCCTGGGAGATTATTACATCTGAACTGCACTCAAACACTCGCCTCCTTTGAAGATCAGGCTGGTTGAATTAATATTTCCTCTTCCTTCCTGAGGTTAGCAGCTGCATGTGACTGCACTGAGCAGTCACGGCACAGAGTTCAGTCTTTTCTACTCTGCCAAAACATTATACAATATCAATACAAAGAGAAACTGCTACACTAATAATTATAATAATAATTGGTATTTTTTTATTTGTGAATTGATTTTGAATTGTGGAAATTGTGGCTGCCTTTTTTTCCCATAAGAAAAAATAGACAGTGAAAAGGGTCTGTTTATAATCATACTGACATTGTAGCAGCAACATATACATCTTTCACTACAGTTTCAATGTCTATATCTATAGAATATGTCACAGACATGGAAAAAAATATAAATGTATTATTTAAACTCAAACTCAGGCTCTCTGGCGTTTCTGTGGACAAAATCCATTCATATGTTAAGACTTTTATTGTATTGTATTTATCAAAACTCAGTATAGAAAGATAGGGCTGGCAGCGGCAGCTCCACAGGAGCCATGCAGCTGACACGCTGTCGGTGTAAACACAATGCGTGTGCCTTAAGCAGCTGTTCAGCGCCGTGTCTGTCATGTGCTGCTCAGGTCGGGAGTGTGAACCAAAGCTAACAGTCATATCAGACCACAGTACTCTACTATATCACTGAAGCAAGATGATAACTTTAACCACTGCACATTTTACTCTTTAAACCTGCAATAACTGATTGTTGAGACCACTTGGGGGCAGCAGAAACAAGTTGTGACATATAATCACCTTTTAAGTTGATTTGACAAAAAAAGAACGTATCTGGCAGATGCAGACCAAATTATCATTCATTTGGAGTCGGATTTTCTGACCACCTGATGAATGCAAGTCCAATAATTACTTTGTTTTAGCTGGGTTGTTAGTATCTAATGCTCCTTTACGTTCACCTGCTCCTTGCTAACTGTGTGTCCGCTGTTTGGTGCTGAGCATTTAGCGTACAGTGGATTCTCAGTGCTTCTTAAATTAGAAATCAGTTGCCTGTTGCAGCCAAACAGCTACACAATGAGCGGACACTCAATATTTACTTCCATAAAGCTGAGCAGATTCTTTGTGTGGCCCCTTTCACATTGCCACACAATCATCTAAAACGGAAATCGGCTGCAAAAGTTCATAATAAAGAAAGGGAAATATTGCATTAAACACAAACCACAGACAGCTCACCATGAGAGTTGTGTGGTTGAGGTTCCAGGTGTAGGTGGTCAGGCTCCTGTTGACAGGGTCCACGATGGAGTCTTCGATGATGTACACGGAGCGTGACATGCCGGAGGGGAAGAGCCGCTCCGCCCAGCGAGGCAGCCGATTGGTCTTCATCAGGAGGCGTCTGGTGAGGAGCCGGTGGTCGGCAGTCACCTCCCGGTAGACAACGTCCTCTGTGAGAACATGGGTGCTAATCCATAACAAAAATCCTTAATTATTAAATCAAGGCATTAGGGAATGATTAGGAATGGTAACAGTGAGCAAACGCAGTCTTAAAACAACACTCACATGTCCGTATGTGCATTCACAGACTTGGAAAGTGTGATCCTATCATTTAACTTTCACATCAGTTTGTGATTAATTTCAGTTCTGTTTAAAACGGTGGTCCACTTTCCAACAGTCAATTGAAAGTGAAAAAAAAAAAACCACACTGTGAACTTTTAAAATAAAGAAATATATAATATTATACAAAATGTTTTAGGTAAAGTCATAACAAAAGTAATACAGATTGACAACACATCAACGAATATGCTAAATGTAGTTTTATTTCTCTGATGTGTTTTTTCAGTTCCCCATCTTAATCATGACTGAGGGCTCTTTTTAGTTGTAGGTTACAGCGCTCAACATCAAGAATGTCTCCACAATCTGACAATGTAAACCATTTCCATATTAATAAATTAGGTTTGTTGCAAATGACTGTAGCTTGAAATATTACATCAAAAGCAGTGACTAAAAACAAAGATTCACAGGGTAGTTTTGGTTTGCCTCTTTTTCTGCTCACTCATATCCAGACAAAGTTGAGCAAGTTGCAGGTTCTTCTTCTGATTTCAAGCAGAAAACGAAAGATCTTGAAGGCTGTGTTGACTGTTGACCCACACCATATTAACAAGTCTGTATCTAGGATAAAATAATGAGCATATAAATATTACAATACCTGAATGGATTAGGATACCTCTGCCAAAAAGCAGAGACAACATGGTCCCACGTACTCCTGATGTCGGCGCTATTACAGAAATACTTGACCATTCTTCTTTCGCTGATGTACAGTATGACCTGAATCCCGAACCCTGAGGTCCCTCGCTGTGACTACACAAGATAATGAATGCTTGGGTGCTGACTCCATCCAAAGTTTGGCACAGTCCTTAAAGGGGGAAGAGAAAGGGCTTTACCAAATCTATCAACCATCAGTAAGAAGCAAAAAAAACAAACAAAAAAAAACTTTAAAATTACAAAAATTAATTACGTACATGAATGTGAATATAGATCATGTCAAACAGCGGTAGCTTCTTCTCAGTATCTTTTGGTACATCAGGCTACTGTGTTGCAAATCAATGAACTGGACTGCTTCATTTTGGATTTTTATATGAGTTTTGCTTCAATGCGATTATGTACCTTCAATTGAAATGTATTTTATTTGCATGGGTAGCCAGATACAGCAATATCTGTCTGTTTATTTTATTCATAGAAAAATAGCTCAACTGACTTTCAGCAAATGTTGTAACAGATTCTATCCATATCACGGCCTCCGGCTGCATATCCATCGATAGATGCATAAAACCGACTCTCCATATTAGATTAACTTATTACATTATATTCGTTCTATATGCAAGAGCTATTGGAAACCTGTGCTCTATCAGATCCTGTGATCCGCAGTGTTGTTAGGTTTAGGCATGAGGAGTGAGATGGTTACGGTGGTGGTACAGATTTCGGCGTAACACAGGAATAAAAAAATGTTTTATTATTTATTTAAATTATTTGTATTTCATACTTGGCCAGTAAATTTGATTCTAATTCAGTTTTGTGTATGTACATAGTAGAGCTTTAAATAAAGTGAGTTTGCTGAAGAATGACTAATGTGTTTTATGAGTTTTCCTAATTAGAATTAGATATTTGTTTGCAATTATTTATTTTATACCATTACACTACCTCCTGCTGTAACCTGTGGAATATTCTATATCGACCACTCAATCAATCTGTATAAAAGCTGAATATAGTGTACATACAACTCTAATACTGATTTTGATGTTTTATTTTGTTGTTTAATGTGTATTTCTGTTTTCTTATCTGCTGTAACGAGTGAATCCCCCAGTGTGGGATCCATAAAGTCTATCTTCTTTTATCTCAGATGAAATGTGTTATAACGTAAAAGTAAAATAATCGAAATATCCACGTCGTTAGCCCCTCAAATAATCCTAAACACGTCTATAAAAGTTTCTTCTTCCACCGGCTCGACGTGAATGATCTGATTATTACTGTTCCTTACGTAATCTGGAGCTGTCACCTTGACTCGTGGCTCTGTGAGGTAGCTGCAGCTGAGGTTATCACTGCTAACCAAATGTCTCCTGAAAACTCACTGTAGTCACTCAGCTGATCAAACGCTTTGACATCTATGAGCGGGAGTTGGAGTGAGTGACCGTGTGGAGGATTTGACAGCTGTCTTACAGTTCCAACAACTCAACCTCGGT